AATGTCCTTCTCTTGGCTAATTTCTAATTTTTCAATTAAACTTCCGCAATTGTTATGACAAGGTTTTCCTTTTCGATTATAGACTTTAAGTTTTTTTTGAAAAGACCCCTCTTTGCTTAAAGGATTAACAAAATCGAATTCCGAAGTCCCTCCTCGCTTCAAAGCCTCTTTCAGAATGATTTGAGCCGAACAAATTATATTTTTTACTTCTGATTCAGTAAGCTGGTTGGTTTTTTTTGAAGGATAAATTTTAGTGTCAAAAAGTATTTCTGAGGCGTAAATATTGCCAATTCCACTAATTATTTTTTGTTCTAATAAAGCATTTTTGATGGGAATTTTGCGTTTTTGGTAATGTTTGAATAATAATTCAGTATCCACTTCTTCATCAAGCAGATCGATTCCAATATTTTTGTAAGGCTCCATTTTTTTGTAATTTTCAAAAGTTTGTAAACGAAAACCCCCAAATCGGCGAGCATCACGATAAGTTAATGTTGTTGATTTTTGCCCGTTTTCTAAATAAAAAGTTAAACCTTTCGCACTTTCATTATTATGCTTTTCAAACAACTTTTTTTGTTCTGGAGTGAGTAATTTTTCCTCTATAAAATATTTTCCGGTCATTCCTAAATGACTAATTAATACATGAGTTTTATTTTTCTCTTGGTCGGAAAGGATGAAAAAAAGTCATTTGCCTTTTCTTTCTATTTCATAGATAGTTTTTCCTGTTAGCGAATTAATAAATTCTTCTTCACTGGTGTTTTTAATTAAACTTGCTCGTTTATTTATTTCGTCTTTGGGCTTGTAAATTTCTACTTTTCGAAATTTTTTTCCAATTATTTCAGATCTTAGTATTTGGCGAACAGTTTCAACTTCTGGTAATTCTGGCATTTTTAATCTTTTCTCTTTATTTATTTTTTTTAGACTTTGGTAAGTTTGGCCGGCAATTAAAAACTTGTGGACAATTCTCTTTATTCATCAAACAAACTGCTCCTTTTCTTTTCATAGTTTTCTAAATAATGACAATGTCTACTTGCTTTTCTAATTTCTTTTCAATTTTTATTGGAATAATCATTAAGCATTTTTAAGAAAGACAACTGGAAAGACTGACAATCGTTCTTAAAAAGAGCATTGGTAAAGTCAGATGCATGAATACATTTAAAAGCCCGAGAGTTAATGGTAAAGAACATATTTATATTTGGCTTGCTCCTCGCTTGGCAAAACTAATAATGTCTTCTAGTTCTATTTTACGACTTTCTGCATCACTGGTTAAATTACGGCGAGCTAATTTTCATGGTTGAGTTCTGGTTTCCTCAAAAATTATATATTGATCTTCATTTTTAGCATGTTCCTTATAGTGTTTATACATGGATTCTAGGTAGGGTAAAATATTCTTTTGCTCTACTGGCTTGACTTTCGCAAATAACTTTTGGCAATTGCCATATTTATCAAAATGTTCTCACATTGATTTAGCAATAGATTCTAAAATTGGACCTCCGGGTTGGGCCTGTCATTCTTCGGTAAAGAGGAGAGAGTTTTCTTCTTTTAACACTTCAAGGTAGGTCAAATAAATTAGTTTATGAATAATTGCTATATCGTTTTTTATTCCTTTTTCGTAAAAATATTTCGCTAAAGAAAGTGGTTCAATATTGAGATTTTTTAAACGATAAGAAACCTTTTTGGCGGAAACTTTTCCCATACTTTATTTTTAGACATCTTAAATGCTTTTATAAATATCCAACCTG